TTGGTGGCAAGCAGACAGCAGTTATATGTGAAGGTTTGCAGGAAGGCGACGGTACGATGCGAAGCAGAAAGGTTTTGGCGGTCAGACGAAGCCGATCTTTCGAAAAAAAGCAAAAACAACGAAAAAAATTGTGCTTCGAATGGAGTGCACTGAGTGTAAGCATCGTAAGCAGCTCCCGATCAAACGATGCAAGCATTTCGAGCTGGGTGGACAGAAGAAAACCCGCGGACAGGTCGGTTCCACATCTTTTCATTGGCCTTTTCTCTTGTCTCCCTCCTCTTCACCACGGTGGGCCAACAGCGCCAAACAAATGGCATATTTTCACACATATTTGAGGAGTCCGCCGCCCTGCACCCGCCTCTGCTAGCTATTCTATTGCTGGTGCCCGTCAGATTTGCATATATATGTATTTGCTTTTTTCTTTTTTTTTCAGGTTATCCAGTTCTGAGAGGAAAGAATGAGCGCCGCGCGATCGGCTGCTTACGGCGACAGTTTGTTGAAATGATACTGTTGTTGCGCTGTTGCCTGCTGTAATTTATTAAACCATAACATACCCCTGAATTGTGTGTCCTCATGCATTTGAGCACTGCAGCGAGTGTCCTCAGCACTGATTTCTCATTACATTACGAGAACTAAAAAAGACCGAAAAAATGGCATCAATGGGGTGGGGGAGGGGCTGAAACGTGAATGAAGGGATAAGAAAAGGAGGGGAGGGATAATGAAGGCATTAAGATTACTTGGACTACTTCTGCTACCACCTCGATGGCGGGGGAAGGAAGTTCCGCGAAGTTGACGTGAAGATTACGGCGCATCTATGTATATGAATGGTTACTGGCTACGATGGTCATATGTTTCAGTTTATGCTCTAGAACTCACTACTTCCACGTTGGGCGCTTTTGACGTAATTCTGCCGTCGCCATTGGCAACACCCTTGAACTGTCGCTGCACGGTTCATTCGGTAGTTGGATTGGTTGCGCTATCATTTTTTTTGTAGCACGAAATGGTTGCGCTATCATTTTCGATGCGTTGATTTTCGGATCCACTTCCTGGTTTTTCCTCTCCAGTCATGAGGACTCGTGGAGCCTCGGGGTTGTTGTTGCCCATCAGAGCCTGGGTAAGAATTTGAGTGGGTAGATTTGAAGAATTTGGTGCCGGAAAAAATTAAAGTGAAACTGATCCTGACAATTATCTCTCAAGGGGCAGCCAGATGGGGTAAGCATACAGTTTTGGCAATGTCCTGTAAATGTTGGGCTGGAAAAACACTACCAATCTCCTCATTACACTCTAACAAGGACAGGGACATGCAAATGCGAAATATGGTCACTCACGAAAGC